ATTCATATTTGCATATATCTGTGACATAACAACGTGACTGCCAATAATTGTTTGTGTTAATTCATTTTGCTTCAGTGCACTTTTTGCGGCCCTTGAACTTAAAAGCAAATCAACTTTGACCTAAGACCTCTGATCTTGTGCCTCAAGAGCGTGGCTGATCAAGGTATGTGTTTGTTTATCAATAGAATTACAGGGTAGAAAAGATACAAGATAGATGAGATATATATATCTCTTTTATGATACGAGCATTTTGGAAAGAGTGCGCATAGCGTAGAATAATACGGTTTATAATTAAAGCGTAGAAGAGGCAGAGTTTAATGAAAGAAAAAAAGGCAAAACAAAAACTAATTAACATATTTTTGCAAATTATGCATCGTGTGTTGTGATTTTGGGGGCCATAAATCGATCGGATGATCCGAAAGGCACAGAGAAGGAGAGACAGAGAGAGAGAGAGAGAGGGAGAGCGCGGCGCTGAGCGAGCGAGCGAGAGAGAGAGAGATAGTACGAAAAGTTAACTAAATATTTCGACTTGAAAGGCAATACCCAGGTCCAAGAGCATATTTTTCGCCCGATTAACATGCGCCGCGAGGCGTTGGCACTTGGCAAGGACGAGGAAGCAACAATTGCAATGACAACAACAACAACAACAGGAACAATAAACAACAAACAAACAACGACAAGCAACAAATTGCGCGAAAAGGTCAATGAGCAAAAATTCAAAATACATTGAACCAGCCCCAGACCCTGAGACCCGACGATGAGTGGAAAAAAATGTAAAGCAGGCCGGTCGCAATATCATCAGCAACAACAACAACACAAACAACAACAACAGCCACAACTCAGCTTTGTTGGCAAAATGTATTGATTTGAACTTTGAAATGATGTCACGCATTGGGCTAAAGATCGCAGACAGATATGTCCCCTAGATTGGCGGCAAACCCCCCTTGAGAGGGAACTCATGTGGCATGCAACAAGTGGCACGTCCACAAATCAACCTTATCAAGCTTTCAAGCTGTCAAAATAGAAATCTTTCACCAAAAAGGAAGATCATACTCAATATGGTTTAAATATGGCTAACGGGAATAGGAGTCGGAAAATTGGGTAAGTGGAAAATGCAGTTCTATTTTATTGTGATTTATTTGCATGCACTAAGCACTCGTTGCCCGTAAATCGATAACTATCGATTACAAATAACAAGCTTAACAATCGATAACAAGCTTACGACAAGCTGTTGGACATAAGACAAAAAGACTTTAAAAGTGTCTACAGGGCATCTGCTGCGCTGGTACTCTGCATCAGTTTACAGGGCATCTGGTGCGTCGAGCATTTTTGCTGCGCAGGGTATCGGCAACTGTCGCATGCAGCTATAAATAGCTGAGCCGAAGATTATTTAAAAATTGCCTAGTCTGATAAGCGAATGGTGTGAAGGAAGCGCCGCCAGGGCCACACGGGTCGTATGCGTGATATGCGGGCGGTGTCTATATATATGTATTTACATATAACAAATAATAATACGTATACGTATAGAAAAACATTGAGCATACGCAGCGTGCGCCGCGCATGAACCTACCGCAATGGCAGGCAATTAGCAGCTGCTGCTGCGAGCAACAACAACAACAACAACAACAGCTTTTACTAATGCATTGCTATTCACTTGTGTTGTTGTTGTTGTTGTTGCCATTCTATAAATAGGCCCAAAGGCAGGGCGCCAGGCCAATTGGACTTTGGGACTCGAACAGCTTTTGGTGGGCGTTGCGAGCGCCTTGTAAAGACAACAACAGCAACAACAACAACAACAACAGCAAGAGGAAGAGCGGGGCGTGTAAAAATAACTGCATAATTTTAGTTCTTTTTTTTCTGCCCCTTTTTTTTGGCACCTTTTGCCAAACTGTCTTTATTTTCATTTATTATCTCTTTTGGCCAGATTTTGTTGTTGTTGCTGCACTTTTGGCCGCTTATGCGAATCGTCTGGCAAATTTCATCAGCACTTTTAATTTATGCATCATGAGCGGATCGAGAGCTCATCATCGCGCTGATCATAACGGGGCGTGTAAGGCAGCGAGAGTGTTGCTCAGGCGGGGTGGGCTTGAGAGAGGGGGGCGGGAGAGAGGGGGGGCCAATAGCTGTCTGGCAAACAAGGTTAAAAACAGTGCGCGTGTATGTGTGTGTGTGTGTGTGCCAGGGCTGGAGAGGCGGCGGATCAATGTACTCCAAGCGAAACACATTTTCGAAACAAACAAAAAACCAGTCAGAACAGCGCAAACGGCCATAAACGACTGTGAGATACGCTGAGTACAAAACAATGACTTCCAAACTGTGAATTGGACAATAAAAAGAGCGATTGCAATGTAATGTGCCCAATAAATAGGTCTTAGAATATTATGCAGGTTATTTCTATATGCACTTTCTCGCTAACTTAGCGTCATGGCCCCAACATCGATAAATATCGTTATCGATATATATCGAATTACGCTTATTATTCTGCATATCTTTCAGTTTATAAAACAAGAGCCGCCCCATTTGTCATATTGTCGCTCATAGCACACAAATCACATTTCTTTTACTTATTAAATACATCTATTCCGAAATCGATAAATATCGATATCGCGGCTGCTCTCTGCATATCTTTTCATCCATACGAGTTAGAAGCCTCCAATTTGGCAAAAATATTCTCATGCCACATAAAGCACATTTATTATGCACATTTAATACATGCCAACATCTTTTATAAAATCGATAGATATCGATTTCCAAGCCCATCTCATATTTCGAACAATATAAGAGCTATAGAACCTACCAGAACCAATGTACGCCACTCGCAGTTAGAGAACGGGGCATGCGAAACGATATAAATGAGTGACAGGAGCACAAGGTAACTGCACCCTTGGGTCAATGATATCGTCACGTATGCGATACGATTATTCAGTTATGGCCCCGTCGCAGCAGCAGCAGCAGCAACGGCAGCGGTCAACCTCGGAACTGAGGAAGTTGCTTGACCTGGAAGTGGCCGCTGCTCGTTTTGGCCGCGAGAGTGTAATGCACTATGTTTACGGCTGACCAGATACACATACAGCTACAGATGCAGCTACAGATACAGATACAGCTGCATACAGAGATGCAGCTACAAATCTAGATAGAGATACAGATACAAATAAGGTTGTAGCACAAGTCCACTTAGAGCTTTAGCTACATATACATTGACATATATATATACAGAAACATTTAAAATTTAAATGTGACATACAGATACATTTGTTAAAGCTGCAGATACAAGGTTTGAAGGATAACAGATTAATTGAAATAAATACAAATACAGATACAGATACAGATACAGATACAGATACAGATACAGATACAGATACAGATACAGATACAGATACAGATACAGATACAGATACAGATACAGATACAGATACAGATACAGATACAGATACAGATACAGATACAGATACAGATACAGATACAGATACAGATACAGATACAGATACAGATACAGATACAGATACAGATACAGATACAGATACAGATACAGATACAGATACAGATACAGATACAGATACAGATACAGATACAGATACAGATACAGATACAGATACAGATACAGATACAGATACAGATACAGATACAGATACAGATACAGATACAGATACAGATACAGATACAGATACAGATACAGATACAGATACAGATACAGATACAGATACAGATACAGATACAGATACAGATACAGATACAGATACAGATACAGATACAGATACAGATACAGATACAGATACAGATACAGATACAGATACAGATACAGATACAGATACAGATACAGATACAGATACAGATACAGATACAGATACAGATACAGATACAGATACATTCAGTAGGAGGCACAGCTACAGCCTATAGATATTTTTTTTATTACTACTACGGATACATTGTCTGAAGGAGACACAGATACAGATACAGGTACATTACGAGTAAAAGACACAGATACAGATACTTACGGTTCGCCAGATATTTATAGGTTTTTGGGCGAATGTCGAATTGCATTGACGCTGCCCGAAAAAACAAAATAAAAGCCAGGCGAATGAACGCGCCGAAGGCCAACGCGCCGAATACTTCATTAAAGACGTTGACCAAAGGGGAGGGGGTGATTGGTTAGAGGGAGGCGGGTGGGACGGGGTCAGGCAGCAGGAGTTATGCTAACCGCCGGCGGCTAATCAGCTGCGCCATATGTTAGCGCGGATTATTCCGCACATTTTCTCCATATTTATTGCCCAATGCATAACTTGTGCCACGCCCACGCCACAGCGCCCAATTTTGGTAAATGTCCCTTTTTTTTGTGCCGCGTTCAAGAGGAAGCATTTCATTTCCGGTGCTGTCGGCATTTCTCAAATCTATGGGCGTCCAATGCAAAGCGCCGGCCACCAAAAATTTCCATTAAAATGCAATAGGTGCAAATTAGAAGACAAAAAAGCCACCCGAAAAAAAAAACTAAAAAAAAACCGAGGGTATTCAAATAAATAAAATGTAGTCAGGCGTGCGCGTGTGCACGAGTGCAAATACCCTGTAAATGAGGTGGCTAAGGGAGAACTTTTCCAATACATCAATCTAATACTATAAACTGGTCTAATAGGAATACATATCTGATAAGATATCCTTTAATAAGTCGTTAATTCAAAAATCGAATTTTTAAATATTTATTTTAATTTTTTTTTAAGTTTTTCTTGTTTAAAGAATTCTTACTATTTTTCAAAACTTTATTATATCTAAAAAAGTATTTTTTTAAAGATTTTTGGCTGCATTTGCTAATCAGCACAGTTGAATATCTAATTAGCAGCATTATCACTTTCCAATAAGATATTTAAGTATGACGCCCAATAGTATGTGCCACTTTTAATAATATATTTTATATAAGCCGCCCAAAAGTATGTGCCAATTTTAAATAATCCAATATGTGTTGCCAACTTATATTCACAGCGTTGCCAATTGCCGCGAATACGTCTATCGATATTTGAGACAAACGATACTTGGTGAGCGCAGCTATCGGAGGTTGTGGCGCAGCGAATCGCTGCAGTTAACTTCGCCGCGCTTTGTAAAACGTGCTTTTCACGCCGGTTCTGCATTAAAATATGTATTAAATAACATTTTTATTAGTTAAAAATGTGTGTGAACAACTTAAAAGTGTCGTGCAGCAGTTGCAAAGTGTTAATTTCGAGAATTGAAAGCGAATAGCAGCAACAATTGGCTGCGTGTGGTGTGTGAAACGTGCGTTGTGTTTCGGCTTTTTGTTTTGATTCTTATCACGCTGCGAAACAGACGGCAAAAACGTGCGTCGCAATGAAAAATAAAGTAAAAACAAAATGGAAATGCTGTGAGAGTGCGCGCGCAACCCAAAAAAAAAAAACGATGGAGCGTACGTTGTGAGAGACGCCACCGGTTCTTATGCTGCCCGCTGCTTGAGAGCTTTCGCCAGTTGGAGCAGCGCAGCGCAGCGACGGCGACTGCGACTGCGACGGCAACGTCGACGACGGCGGCAGCAGCAGCGTTCAGTTGTGAGCAAGACTTTGCACTGTTCGGACGTCGCTCGCCGCACGCCCACGCAACGCCGACGCCGACGCAACACGCGACAACAGCAACCAAAATAACAGCAACAACAACAACAACTGTAAGCAACAATTGTAATGCCAATAAGAAACATCAAATGATTGGGTTTAATACGTCAATTGCCAATTGCGTTGCCAATCAGATTCTCAGTGCGATACCGTTACGTGAACTCGCGATCGTCGCGCGCCTCGTTAAAAATTAATTAATTATTAATATGCACGCTAAAAGGTCAATGCAAATCACATCTATAATTAAATATAAATAATAATTTACAAATAACAAAAAAAAAAATAAATAAATTGATAACTGCATGCGAATTGCATTGCCAATTGGAAAACGTGTACGAACGTGTTCAAACGTGTTAAAACGTGTACGTGTGTGTGCGCGCGCGTGTGTGAGTGTTCGTGTGTGAGTGTTCGTGTGTGTGGTGTACTCTACGGTGTTTTTTTTATTTCCACGTGGATTGGAGATTTCTTGTCCGCCGGTAAATGTGAATGTCGGCACGGAGCACACGGATTTGATGTAGACGCCGCGCCCTGGACGCAGCTCTCTACATTGGGGCCCCCCACTTTGCATTGGTACCAAACAATGTCACGACGCAAACAGTCGAATCCAAAGCCGTTGAATAAAGGTGAGTCGTACGACACCACCCTTTCCCCCCTCCATACCACCTCAATCAGCAGGTAGCCCACAATTTACACCTGCTGCGACGAAAATAGCTTTGTCAGCTCGTAATGTATTTTTTGGGGTTTTCCATTACTCGCATAAAACATGTGAACGAACTGTGCGCGGGGAGGGGGGTGGGGGGATTAACACGCGCCAACTCCCCCCCGCCCACATCTTGACAGAATAAAAAAAAAAGAGTAAAATATAATAATAAAAAAAAACTATGCGATTGTCAACTAGATTTCAGCTTGTTTTGTCCGTCGACTTTATTTAAACGAAATTTCTTTGTTCAAACAGCGTCTAGGCAGGAGAAAGGGGGGGGGGGGGGTGAACACACCCTAATATGATTATTAAACAAATTACATTTCGTTGTTTGCCATTTGATATACGAGCCATGAGCTGAAGCTGTTAACCAATGAATGCATTTCGGAATCGATAATACGTGCCCCACCTGAAGCTGAAGCTGACGCTGAAGCTACGAGCCAAAAGTCTTCGCTAATCGCTGACGGCTTCGCAGTTGGACTCCTTATCGCGAGCACGTTTCGGTTTAGGTTTAGTTGGATTTGTTTTTTTTTTTCATTTTCATTTTATTTATTATTTTATTATTTTGTTGTTGTTATTGTATGCAATGATATCACCGCAGTCGGTGTAAACGAAATGCAAGTGTGTACACACTGGATAAGAGGCAGAACAAAAAAAAATGCTTTATTTATGCATATGTGTTAACACTGTATCAAAGCATTAAGAATATAGATCGTTTATTGATGTGTGTACACACTGGACAACAATAGCAGCAGCATTTATGCTGCGCGAGATGACATCAAATATTTGGGTGAATTCCCCGAACTCAAAAAAAAAAAAAAAGAGTTGAAACATTTTGAAAGACATTCAATTTAAATAGGTTTAATTATATGATAATTGGAATATTGTTCTATGCACACACTGGCTAGCAACAGCTTGTACAGAATATGCTCTCTTTTAAATGTGTGTACACTGTTTAACAACAGAGGGATTCATGACATACATATGTATGTGTGTGTACACAGTGTATAACATGCTACATATGTAACATTTATAGCATATGTGTGTGTGTACACACTGGATAACAGCCAGAGTGAGCAGCGGCTACAGTTACGATAAATTAACGGTCTTATCTATGCAGCTGTTGTTGTTGCTGTTGTTGCTGTTGTTGTTGTTGTTGTTGCTGCACCTGCGCCGTTTGCTTTCTTCTAGCACATTATCGCAGGCTAGCCCTAGCTCTCTCCCTCTCCCTCGCTCTACTACTCGCTCGCTCTCTCACACTCTTGCAGCTGGCTGCGTCGCTTTGCATACTTATCTTTAGCGCTGCTGTTCTTATTGCTAACTGTTGTTGTTGCTGTTGTCGCTTGACATTTTTGTGTTGCTTGAAAGCGCGCAGTCGATAAAGTTTTATCACAAATGCAGCAGCAGCAAACGAAAACTGTGCAAAAGTCGTCGCCGCCTCTGTTGTTCTTGTTGCCGTTAGCTTTACATAAGTTTCATTTGCGATATGCCCGTTGACACCCCCCCCCCACCTCTCACTCTCTCTCTCTCTCTCTCTCTCTCTCTCTCTTGCAGTGTTGGTAATCGTGACACTGTTCTGCAGGTCGCCAACGAAATAGATAAACATGCATAACTATATATTTTTTCTTTTTATATATTTTAATTACGTTTTATCACTAATTTTATGTTAATTGCCAGCTGTTGTTGTGCTGTCTGCTATCTGCGCCGAAAAATGCTAACTAAAGGAAGGCAGCCTGCCCCGCCCACTCGCAGACACGACCAGCACAACAACGTTGCTGAGCGTGAAACGCGTCCGCATGCGGGTGACAATTTTCCATTTTCCAAGTAGAACTCCGGGCTTCAAAACAAAACACGACTCAATGCGAGCTCGTCAGCAATCGCTGGCTACGTGTCATGCGGCGCTTTTTTTTTTCGACTGATAGCCAACCATATACATATAGATATATATATATATATGCATGCATGCATGTACGTATGTATGTGTGTGTATATCTATGTACACATGTATTTGCAGTTTGCAATTGCAGTTGCTGGCGTTGATAAAGGCAAAGCTCAGGTTGCGCTAGATAGCCAATAACCAAGGCCACCCTGTGGCTGGCCAGTGTGGCCACAGCAGCTGCAGCTAACGATGATGTTGATGATGATGTTGATCATGATGAACCGTTACAAGTTCGACAATTGCGCGCATCATATTGGCAAATGCGAGAGCGAGATGGCAATGCGGGAGATGAGAGAGAGAGAGAGAGCGGGATGAGGGCAACTGGCAGATAAGCTCGATACGAGCTTTGGTCATTTTGACATTGTGTTTAAAAAGCGCGATAAGCTTTTGTTGTTAATGCTGATGTATATTGTTTTTGTTGCTGTTGTTGCTGTTGTTTTGTTGGAGTTTTTTTTTTTATATTTGTGAAATCGCACCAGGAAATATCACAGCAGATAAATAACAACAACAACAACAGCAACAACAACAACAACAACTTGCAATACAAATTACAAAATGTTGTTTTTCGTTTTGTGCGCTCGTATTAAGTTCATTTTGTTGTTGTTGCTGTTGCCTTTGGACAGCGCATTTGCATATCAACTGCGATAATAACACATGACGGAAGGGGAGGGGCGGAGGGAAGGGGGGCATTTGGGAACGCTTGAGTCTTGAGTCACAACCGCGCATAAACAATTGCGATATCGTGTCGCTCGTTTATCGAACTCAACTAACAAAAAAGCACTTGCTTTTAATACCATATTTAGAAAACGAAACGAAACGAAACGAAACAACAACAAAATCTGAAACAGGAATACAAAAGAGATTATCCACAGGCAAGAAAATAAAGCGGATAATGTGGCCAGATTGTTGATTGTAGTGTTGGAAAGGTCTTAGATATCTTATTTTCATGTGGTTATATTTTTCAAATTAAATCCACAACCATGAACATAATATAGAGATTGGTATGCTTAGCGGATAATGTGGCCAGATTGTTGATTGTAGTGTTGGAAAGGTCTTAGATATCTTATTTTCATGTGGTTATATTTTTCCAAGAACATAAAATAGAGATTGGTAGGTTTAGCAGATAATGTGGCCAGTTTGTTGATTGTAGTGTTGGAAAATTCTGAGAATTGCCATAAATTGACATTATATCATACTTTACTTATGAAATGATTTTCAAAAATATTAAATGATAAGGATATTATAAAGAACTAGTTAAGAATTCTGAAGTTAAGATGTTAGACTATCAATTTGTTTATAGATGGGAATGCTCTTATAAAGATTTCTAACAATTTATGATTTATCTAGAATATGTCGTAATGTACGAGTGCGACCACGTGTCTTGACCTTTGACCCAATTGTCGACATATATGTGTGTAAATCCCATATATATATATCTAAATGCACACAAATAAATCCAATAAGAGATATGTTGTCTATAATACACACACGCGCAACTAAATGGATTGGAATTTATCAAGATCCATTTGCCAATGTGATCAATTTTCCAAACGCAGCTGATTTGCTGTGTCAACTCCCTCTCCACTCCATTCCGGCTACCCCCCCTTCGGCCAACGCGACTTTATCAAGGTTTTCAGTTTCGGGCTGGAAACGTGGCTCTAATCGCCAAATGCAATCGAAATAAGCTCGAAATTTGATGCCCAAATGGCGATAATGTTTTGTAGTCATTTTGAGAGACAAGCCGAGAGTAAAGAAAATAAAAAGCTAAAACACCAGCAACAACAACAACAACAACAAACTTGAACAGCTGTCCGTTGTGTAGATAGCTATGTTGTTGTTGTTGTTGTTGTTGTTGTTGTTGTTATTGTTGTATGATTTGTACAGCTCGCGCTTATCAGCTGATCTGATGGCAAGATTGTCGCGCTTTGCTTCAAAATGAGAATGAACTGAAAACAACGACAGAAATTGTAGCAACAACAACAACAACAACAACAACAACAACAACTAAATACTGAAAATACATAAAACAATTTTTGTTGCTGTTGTTGTTGTTGTTGTTGCTGTTGTCTCGTCGTCTCGCTGTTTTATAACAATTTCAAAAGATTTTCAACAAATGAGAAAAATGTCAATGTGATTTGGCTTGTCGGATTGCGGCTGGGCCCCGGCAAGGGGTTGGGGTGGCAAAGCCAAGTATGCAGCTACTATGCGATTATACTTATGTGAATGCACTGAGAGAAAAAAGAACGGCAAGCATTTTGCCGAAAAATCATAGAGAATTGAAGACGCTGTCAAAATGCGATCAAACATGAAAATTCATATGCTTATTTCAAAATTTTTATTTTGAAGAACTTCTTTTTAGGCTTTCCAGTTTTACACTTGCAAAAATATTAGCTTCGTTTTGGCAATTGCATATAGATAAATTCGATCATTTGACATGCAGTTTTATTTATTTATGTTATTTTAAATATAGGAAAACTTAAATCTAAAATGTTTATTTATTTTTATTAATATAATTTCTGAATTATGAACAAGAGGCTCTCCTCTTTTGAAACATAAAATAAATCTTCCTTATTTCATTTTTCATTAAAATGAAAATTATTTTTCAATTAAAAACCTTTTTAGAGATCAAATTAATCTCTATACTGAATTAATATAACAACTTTTGAATTATATAAAAAATGCTTTAAAATTTTTTTTTTATATTTCTGAATAAGTATAAAAATTAATAAAATTTAAAAAAAATTCCATTCCAGATTTTTTTCAACATCAAATTAAACTCTTGATTTCTGAATCAAAATAAGAATTTTTGTCTGATTTAAGGGAAATGTGTTTTCTTGATATTGCAGACTTTTCTAAATATCAAATTGATCTCTTATTACTTTGAGATTCATTTAATTTAGCTATAACAAAACTCTTCAAAGTGTTTATGCAATATAACTCATTTTTCGTCTAATAACTAAATCTAAGAAATGTTGTGCTTCATT